ATATACTATATATATATATATATATATATACTATATATATATATATATATATATATATATATATATATATATATATATATATATATATATATATATATATATATATATATATATATATATATATATATATATATATATATATATATATATATATATCTATATATACTATTACATCAACTGCATGCGTGGAAAATAGCATTCGGGAGTCAACTACCCACCTACCATTAGTACGTTGCATGGCTTCCATCTGCTGTCTCTGTCTTAACGCTCGGAACTGTCCCAGTGCGTGGAATCGCAGTCTGTATTGAGTTTTGAATGCTTCCCGCCCAGACACATCGAGCATACGCTCCTCTACCAGTTTTTCTACGAAAGAGTCGAAGTCCACTTTACACTGATTTCATAGGGTAAGAGTACACATATGTAGATTTAGACCTGTATAATAAATATACATTAACACTACCAAATGTATCGAGTCGAAGTGTAATTCACACTGATTTGTTGAAGTCAAGATATACTATTAGGTTTAGATGTGTGTATTGAACACTCATGTTGATTACACACTACCAATTGCGTAGAGTTAAATTCCACTCGATAATTATCTGATAGAAATTTCATGTCAATATACGTGTCATAAGATTTAAAAAGAACACTGAATAGTGATATGCAATTCGCACTACCAATTTGTCTTTACAACGAATCAATGTCCACTTTACACCGATTTGGTACAATACACATACATTATTAAATACAATAAAAATACATTGAATATTCGTTTGAATTTCACATTACCCATTGCACAGAGCCGAGGTTGACTGTACACTGCTAGAATATACATGAAACATAAAATAACAAAATTTGTGCTAAACATCCATTTAGGATTGACACTGCCTACTGCATAGAGCCGCCTCGACACTGATTGGCCAGAGTAAAAATGTACCACGAGGTATAAAGATCGAAACAAATACTTATTTTCACAATACCAGTAAACACATGTCAATATCATATAAGATTTAGAGGCTGTGAATCGAATAATAAATTGGAATCCACACAACCAATTACATAGAGTCGAGACAACCTTTATACTGGTATATTGGAATGTACATGTATCAGGCGATTTTGAACTCACAAATCGAATATCGCTTTCAAACAGACAGGAGCAATAAGTCTACGGACCAGTCGAAGTCCGCTTTACGCATGTCGATATAATACAGATATGTCGATGAGATATATACGTTAAGCGAGTTTAAAAGTCGCTTGTCGATAATTGAAATTTACCTTCCGCTCCCAGTTATTAAAAACATCTTAGGACTATACATGCAGGTAGCATGAGCGTAAGGCAGTGAAGGTATCACCGAATTATACTTACATCTGTCAAGTTTCAAAATAAGTAATATAAATGTACACGACTCGAGTACTAAGCGCATACAATAAGGACGGGCTCCGAGTAGGGCTGGATGAGACAGCAGGTGAAATATAATGGATAAAACATACTGAACATAGATTACACAAATAGTACGCGCCGTGCACTACATAAACACCACACACAGTGTACAAAAGCAATAGCAAAAAGTTGTAACGATGGAGTATCATATAATCACACCATTCACAGGACACTTATTTTACTATGCATACATTCACCACAGTAAAACACAGATACGCTAAGCAGAGTACACTACACATACATTCAGCACTAGCGTAACGGAGTAACGATACACGTATACTATACATACAATCCGCACAGAAACCACAGATACGCTAAGCAGACTACACTTCACATACATTCAGCAATAGAGTAACGTAGTAACGATACACGTATACTATACATACATTCCGCACAGAAACCACAGATACGCTGAGCAGACTACACTACACATACATTCAGCAAAGGTGTAACGTAGCAACGATATACGTATACTATACATACATTCCGCACAAAAACCACAGATACGCTAAACAGACTACAATACACATACATTCAGCACAGAAACCACACATATGCTAACCCCGATACACTACACATACATTCAGCACCAGCTTAATGAAGGGGTCCAGATTCGGGCGTTGCGTAGTTATCTGCTTTGCAAGGTTAATAAAGCCTTGTGCCAGCTCCAGTATTTTGTGTTCGTTCATTGGTTGTTGTTGTTGTTGTTGTTGTTGTTTCTGTTGTTGTTGTTGTTGTTGTTGTTGCTGATGATGATGTTGTTGCTGATGTTGTTGTGGATGCTGTTGCTGGTGTTGTTGTTGTTGTAGCTGTTGTTGAACTATATTATTTTTACTGTTATTATTCGGCAATTGCGCGGGGGGTTGGGCAACTGATCCCTGACTCATATGCACGGCATTCCGATTCATGTACCCATTATACGCTTCGGCGCCCCCGTCCATATGCATACCACTCATATCCTGGGCTGGCACTCCCTGCAATACCAGAACGAGAAATAACGGCAATCAGACAATAGTTATGATCTAGCGCAGAGTGAAGAAGAGAAAGTGAGTATATGTTTACCGATTGGTACTAGAACAATACGTGCATATAGACATCTATATGCATATACATAATATATATATATATATATATATATATATATATATATACTAGTATAGTAGTAGTATAGTAGTATATA